GCCGGAGTTCACAAGGCAACGGGCAGTTTGCAATGAATACTCAATCCTCGACTACATCCTGGTAGATAGGGGGAGCACGCAGATCCCAGAGCTGCACGTAAGTGCGATAGATAGGGTTGGGTACTGGCGCTGCGCGCCAGTGCAAAGTATACTGGCTGCGTCGGCAGCCAGTAAACTGGATCCGATCAGTACAATGGTGGCGCGGCGAAGCCGCGCGGTCGCGGCTGCGCCGCGACCATCGGCCCCCCCCGGCTGGTGAGGGGGCCCCGACGGAGGCGCCCCCGGAGGGCCCCGCTGGAGGCGCCCCGCCGGAGGCGCTTTTGTACGCGATTTGGCTTCACTAGAGCAAAAAAAATGAGTGATTTTGGCCCATCTGACAGAGGCACTATCGCGGGGAAAACGATAGAAAGTTCGAGTTCAACGACTGAATTTGTTGGTTTTGGACATGAAGAAATATTGAAACATTATAATATTACTCCCAAGCAACCAAGTGGCATCCATCAGTTGGGTTGATGAGCGACGCTATCGTATACCCCCTGCATCAATTTTAACCGGGGAAACTTAGACTTCGCGTTGGCGCCTGGACTTCGCGTTGAAGAACGGTCCCGAACCGACGCGAAACTGTCGACTTGATTCCGAAAACCAAATCGAACACGTCACGGCGTACGACACCAAAAGATCAATCGCCCCAAAACTTTTCCTCATCGGACGCCGCTCTAAACGGGCACAGGTAAGCCCCTACAATGGTGTGTGCATGCTGTAGTACATGGTAGACGTGTTGCCGTTGGTTTGGCGCCTGTAGGCAGCACCTCGGCCTCACACCAACAAACCGACATTTTTTTGCATCATCGTCATCATCATCACATCATGGATGCCCGGACTGCTGAGCCACCACCAGCTCCGCCATCCACCCAACACACCCAATACACACGGAGAGAGGTTCAAACACACAACACGACGGAACTTGTCACTACCCCTCACATCACACATGTCCCAACTCAGCTACGCGCGGCACGTGTTTGGGTGAATCAGTAGGAAGAAGGCCTCAGTAGGACCCAGGGCAGCAGGAGGGGCATGTAGCAAAAAAGCAAAAACCACGCAGAAAGGACAGCTCACCAAGAAAGAGTCATCGCCAGCTCCGCCAGCCGCCAATACGCCCAACACACACGGAGAGAGGGTCAACACGCAACACGACGGAACTTGTCGTTAGCCCTAACGTCACACACGTCCCAACCGAGACGCGTTTGGGTAGATCAGTAGGGAGATGCCAGCAGTACGAACAAAGGCCGCCTGCAGACGGCGTAACAAATATTACATCGAGAGCAGATGGAAAGGATTTTTTTTTTTGTGGAGGCACTCCTGTTTGCCGCATGAACGTGTACCATCCCAGCAGCGGTTTAACGATGTACCACACACTACAGACACTACAGGTTGTCAAGATCATCATCAATAAACATCTGCCAGTGTTATTGGTGGCCCTGTATCCGCTCTCTCGTTGTGTATGTGTGTCCGTCTGCCCACTTTTTTTTTTGCGCATGTTGTCTGCTTTGTACAACTACAGTACATCTTGTTGCTGCCGCTTGCTGCTGCTCTGCCCCGCTTCAGTCACAAGCGAGCCTTGCTTGGCAGACACGTGAGAGGTTTCAGGATATATTCCCACCGGATATGTTACAAATCCGTAGAATAGCTCGTTGACTTCCCCCATGACGCCCCCTCCCTAGGTCCCAGGTCATGTGTGTTTTCCCTATTCAGCCGCACGGAGGCTGAGGGGTATCCATCCTTCAGCCCACGAGCAGGAGTACCGACGTTGCACAAGTTAACACACCCCCTGGACCGGTTTTCATAGTTCGATTACTTCACGACCAAGGACCGGTCCACGTGTGATAGATATCATGTCACCTCCTTACACACGGTAGTTCTTGCACTAACTCACTGCTGTATAGACTTCAACACACCCCATTCGACTGGTGCTGCTGTGGGTTCAGTATTTTTTGTACTCTCGCGAACACCGGTTACCGCGATGATGACGACCACCACCAAGCTCAACCAACAATGTTGTTACCCTGCAGCACCGGCGGCGGTAATGCCGTTGTCCTCGATTGGTGATATAACTGCTAAAGTCACTTCGTCTCACCATCATAATGAATGGTAGGACGAATACACACAATAAGCTCTATCTGCATTTATGTCTGCGCACCTGCCTCGATGCCTCAAAGAACGCCAATAGGAAATCTGCTCAATGTACGCGTGCGTGCTCAATCCTAAATGTGGTAATAGACCGGCTGTTTGTGTGTGATGGATGCTGACAGCGAACAACGTCCGTTTTTTATTTTATTGTCGTCAGGCCGAAACCCGAGTTTGTTGTCGGAGATGTCTTCTTGGTACACTCCGGAAAGGTATGGTGACTGGCCGGGATCCTCGCCTCCCGAGCGCAATACAGATATACGGGACACTCTTCTTTGGCAGCACGTATTTTTGGGGTGATTGGGTATGGAAACCCATGTACATGTTGCGGTGGTGCAAGCTGGGCTGAGAGGTTGCAAACACAACGTTCATGATGGACGTAGTGTTTGGTACTCCCAAGAAGGAGGGGGACCCATTGCCGATCCTGATGCGGTGGGAAATTTGCCCGACGCTGATCACTCCGGGTTTGGTTGCGAAGCCTTCGCTTGCAGTCTGGCATGAAACAGCACCTTGCTTTCTGGACGGTGTCGTGACGACGGTGACTAAAATCGCCATACATGGACGTATCCCTCTCGAGTGGGCCTGGCCAAACCCTCGGGCAGGACGACTGCCTACGGCACGACGGCCCCTGCCTCATCTACAATGGGCAATCAAGTTGCCTGGGGTACAGCCAGTCGAGCGTGGAATCATATTGTTCAACGCATGCTGCAGGTGATAATTTCGCAGGGCATGGATGACCACGTCTTTGATGAGCGTTCAGTTAGGAACTTCCCCGGTTCGCGTGACGACACCAAGATTTGATCTCACTTAGGAGGAGGCAGAAAGCTAATTGCAAGAATAGCCTCAAAATATTTGGATGGCACAAAGGTGCCAAGGTGCCGATCCTTGCGATGTTGCCAGCTCCTGTGCGTAAAGGTTAAAATATATTCTGGGCCTAGTTTAGAACGAACTCGCCGTGCAAAGACTCCGGTCCGTGTGTGTCTGAACAATAAAATTAATGCGACGATGTCGTTGTTGTTGTTGTGGTAGTGGCTGTTAGGGTTGTTGTTTTTGTCTTCTCAATAGAATAGTCCGTTCCGGTATTGCACAGCGGGGGCTGCCGGTGGACGCTTGATACTCATCCCTTTCTCCCTCTCCCGCGCCACTGCAATTGTCACTTGTGTAGGTACTCGACGAAGGTCAAGGCGTTGGACCCCACGGACAACTATGAAATATACTCCAACGACGCCAGGGTTCGAAACGAGACTTGGAAAGAGTACAACAACTGGATCAAACGGCGCTACTGGAGGGAGCACAACAAGAGCATTGACGCGCAAAAAACCTGAAGTTCCACAAGGTGCGTTATAGATAGGAAAGGTGGCGTTACCTCCTGCTATTTTCTTAGGCCAGGGGTGCGTTTTTCTGTGGGTTTGCTCAGCATGAAGACTAAGAAGCTACGAGCTGAACGGAACGTCAGGGTTTGATGTTGACATGGTCCGTTAGGCATGTTTAGCTCGACTCTGACACGGTTATTGGTGATACAACAACATTTCTACCTGTTTCTCTCGCTCGGGCTCTCTTATTCCCCCCCTCCTCTATCTCTATCTCTCTCTCTCTCTCGATCTGTGTGTTTTGTGTACCTGTTGTTCCATCCATGTACATGTGCTCCTCCCTCCCTCTCTCTCACACGCGCGGGCATACACATTCGGCTTTCGCTCCTTCTCTCACATAACGGTTGTGTTGTTTTTATGTGTAAGATAGTTTCCTTCGCTGCCTGTCGTTCATTGCACATGAGGTGAGACTGAAACAATATATTTTGTTGCGTGCAGTATCGCTCCTTCTTTAATTTTCCGGAATCGTTCGGGAGAATTCGTGGAGCATTTGAGGGCCACTACACCAACCAGTAGGTATTTGCTGTGTCCTTGTCCATTCACTGTGCTTTTTTTGGCCATGCACCACTCGTCCCCCCCCGTCTAGCCTAAATATACGTTGTCGGCCCGTTGTCTCCCACATGATCAGGAAGGGGGGCGTGGCTTCCACCGATCAGCAAGGGGGGCGTGGCTTCCACCGACGCTTGTTAATGGAGGATAGAGGACAATGGAGAGGGGCGGCACAGTGGGAAAGTTGAGTAGGACGCTTGAGGCCGCGTCATGATGGCGTGCGGTCGAATGGAGGTGACGCTTGGCTTAGGCGAGGACAGCTAGCTATAGGTACCAGCGTGCTGCTGTATGCCTGTCAAGTCCGGCCGCGTAGTCTATGCACGTAGCCCTAGCGGGTGGAGAAGTAGAAGGGTTTTATTTTTTTGGAATTGTTCGGCAGATGACATGGACGAGAGGTAGAACCGCCTTGCGGTGGTAGTAGCGAAAATGGTTGACGATGTGTATTTCATGTGTCCGCCGCCATCGGCGTGTTTTCGTCCCTAACTAACAACTCCGAAAGCTGGACGCGGAGCCTTTCGGTTTGGAATGACACTGGCAACGAGACGAATGCAAGAATCACGTGTGAGATTGGCCAAGCTTCTTCTTGTCCGTGTGTCTCGCCATGTTGTACAGGGAGTTTGTAGACGGCATCAAATGTGAACTTGTGTTGCACTTGTTGCACAGCACGGTGTCGAGATGATGTTTGGGTTAGAAGAAGATCCGTAACGTCCACGCCTCTCGGAGAGAGAGAGAGGCGCAGGCAAGTGAGCAGGACTCAGTTTTTTTTGTGTGTGCTCCCCACTTTGTCTTTTTAGTGGGCGGAGCTGTCTAAATCACACGCGAAGGTATCAACCAGGGTAAGTCACGTTATTTCAAAACTCGCTTTTGGCCACAACCAACAAACGTGGACCCCTACAGCCTCATAACCCACACAGAACATTGATGCCGGCCCAGTCGAGGAGAGTACCATGCATCAATATATATGCATGCATGTACGGGAGCAATGCAGCAATGCATTCCGCACGAATAATAGGCTTCTTTGCCACGCTCACCGGAGACAACCCCGGTTCCGTGCTCAATCAACACAACTACTACAGCAACCTTAAGTACAACATCACTTTGTCCCCCCCCGTCGCCCTGTTACCCTCATGTCAAGGGCACCTTGGTCGGGATCAGACCTTACTTACGTTATGTGGACATTACTGGCCCACAGAAAAAAATGCTACGCAACCTTTCGAATGCTGTCGCAGAGAGAGAGGCTATGAACGACTGACTGGGTCCTACCGAAGTTTGCAACATTCAGTCGGTGTCAACCCCATCCAACGGACAACACCCAAATATTAAGGAGGTGATTCTTCATTTTTTTTTCTTGTACACATTTGGTTCTTCTCTCTCCTACCACTCCCTACGTGGAATGTGTCCTCGCGCGCTGGTCCGCACACCCTGGATCTGCACAGTCCTTCCGGGCTGCATGTTCCCCCCCGTCTCTGCTCCGCTCTCCTCTCCACCCCCATGTAGTAGTCTGTCGTTCTTCGATATGTTCTTCTGCTGCTGCATGGTATCGCCTTCCTTAGTGAGCTCGATGTCCTCCTCTTCCTTCTCCTCCTCGTCCTCCTCCTCGTCCTCCTCCTCCTCCTCCTCCTCCTCCTCCTCCTCCTCCGACCTCTGTTTTCCATCAGCATCAGCGATATTTTGAGCACACCCTCCAGCTTAAGTTGGGCACATCACCGAAAACCCAAAAAGGCACCACCGGGGAGCATTATAGACCTGTCGGACGCGTACACTTCCTTACAACAATGAATGAAAGGACTTGAAGAAGAAATGGAGAACGGCCAATAACGACCTCCACGTTCGGCTGCGCAGGTCCACCCCCCGAAGCCTGCCAAGGANCTTGTTTGACGTGTGCCGGAATTTTGGACCCTCCCGAGATGAGAGCGGAGCACGTCGCTACTATCCCGGACACAGGCTCCCATGACGAGTCCGGCAGTAGCTTGCGACGAGAGTTCACACGGGAATTCGCGTCCCCTGCTATGTAGGTAGGAGAGAAGGACGCTCCGGCGTACGTGTCGAAGGATACATTCGCCGCGCTGTCGACCAGGCGTTTCCTAGGGGTGTACCAGTGAAGAGCTACCTCTTCCTGCCCGTCAACTTCGCGCTTGTCGATGACCTTTCCCACAAGAAAAGGGGCTCCATCCGACAGAAAGAACGAGAAAGTGTTCATTGTGCCATGTGCCCATGTCTGCTGATCCCTCAGCCGCCGCCCCCCCCCCTGGGGGGCACTGCCACTTTGTTGATGCTGCCGTAGACGTTCATCGAGATAGTCTCCGAACGAGCTGTTGTCGTCGTCGTCGGAGAGACCGTGTGAGAGACCCCCCCCGTCGCCACCGTCGCCCGGGTCTGATTCAGAGTCGTCGCCGGAGACCTGAAGAGGAAGCCAGGATGTGTCCAGGTCGAATGCCTTGGTTCCCGTCGTCCTTAGTATTCTGAGGCTGTCGGCGTGATCCAGCTTGACGCGCTTTTGCTTCTCCGGGTCTGGATCAATTGAGGCGCGTAGAAGTTCGGGACAACGGTTCGCAACGCTTGAGAGCTTTGTTTCTTGCAGCATCATGCCATTGACAAAGGCGTACAACGAACTCAGGATACGTCAATACCTGGGCACTTGTACGGCAAGCAACATAAATATTAGGATACTCTCGTTGAACGATGTTGCGAAAAAACACGAAAACGTACCGCCGACGTAGGCGACTGGTAGCTTCTCCCACGAGGCTTGTTGGCGCATATCTACCCGATGAATGACATCATCCTGGACCAGTTTGAGTTCGTAGGGCGGGGTCGCTTCCAAGTGCACTGCATGTGCGTGCATCAGGCGCCAAGGGCTGAATCCGGCCCCACTCCCTACCGTCTTCCCATCTTCACTGAAGCCCAACCAGTCCTCGTGGTGCATCTTCTTCTTTACCGTAACCACCATCGAGGGCCCCTCCTTGTAGATTTTGAAAGCTTGGTAGTTGGTGATGGTGGGGATGCGTCGTGTCACGGGAGCCACCAGGTCCTTGAAGTTGGCGAGGTTTTCTAGGGTCCGGCATTTTACTTCTACCTTTTTGTAGCCGCGTCTGAAGGCGTCCCCCAGCTCCTCTCGCGTGAAGATGTCGACCCCTTTCACCGCTTTGGCGAAGCTTCGCATGAAAATGGCGCAAAGATGACGTGGGCACAAGGGGGAGGGGCAGGAGACGAACAAGAAAGGTTGGGGTGTCCTTTGTAAATTATTGACGTCGATATTTGTCCGCAAGATGAAGATATGGATATACCCCTTATATCAACCGCACCCCGATGACAAAGTAAAGGCTCCATCACGATGGATATACATTTCATCAACAAATAGTAGGCGCTGCAAGAAGAAAAATGTAACGTCCCTCGAACGCACTATGGATACATACATACGTCGACCATCCTGTACAGTATTAGTATGTGTTTCTTCCGCGACCACTCACCAGGAGAAAATCTGGTCGATCTGGATGTGGGTGTGGCCAACCATCATGAAGCAGAGCGTGACCGTCCTCATGATTCCCCGACCAACCATCGCCGCCAAAATACCCATGAGGTAGTTGTTCTTGTTCTCGGAGACAGTGTTGTCCACCTGCACGGTCACGTCTCCTAGGGTGTGTCCCCAGGAGAGGGTCAGTTCCATGAACTGGTAGTACAGCGCCGTTGCGACCAGATTGGTACCTGCGACGGAAAAAAGTGTCACGCCCCCAAACCATGAGAACATGAGACCAAACGTACATGACGATGCCCGCAAATTTATTATATTTATGATTGCTAGCTGTCTTTTTGTCTCTCGCCACGTAAAATTAAACTTGTGCCGCGGCCCAAGCCAAACGTTGATTCGCGTTGAAAGGACAACATCAACAAAAGGCAACTGCGCTCAAAACCAATGAAGGCGGCGGTCCCCAATCAACGTACATATAATGCGACCGCCAAGCGCACTATCCCTGCATTAGAGGTGTGAGCATGGCAGTCGAGCATACTGCGTGCGCGCGGCAATGCACCCTAACACCAACCGACGTAAGGCTCATCACATCATCACCATAACTAAGTAAGCAGTGTCGTAGCAAGCGGCGAACATTTCGACCATCAAGGAACATGCAATGCAAGAGTTTTATCTTCCGGCTACCGTCCGTGAATAGCTTGCTCTCTTGTACGCTCTCAGATGTAAAGTCTCCGACCCTGCTCAAACATGCCTCAAACGTGAGTCGTCATGCGCACCCACCCGTGCCGAGAATCTGGGGGGCGAAGAACACGTTCATGACCACCCCGGCGACGAGCACACCGTAAACCTTCGCACGTTCTCCATACCCCCTGGAAAACAGGAATTAGACAGGGGGTGGTGCGAGCGCGCGATGGGGTGTGGGGTTGCGATTCCTCGTGTTGGATGAAGGGGCAAGGCACCTTACGCGGTCAGGTGCTTTCGGTGCCGACGGTACTGTTACTACCACCTTAAACGTGTCGTTTACTTCCTCATATCTTCCTCTCCTCACGACCGGTGACCTGTGGACTTTCGCTGGTACCACGCTGATTAAAGTTCACGCAACGAATCACAGAAAAATATGTGTTTTCCGCGTAGACTACTCGACAAATGGATACGTTACGAAAGCGACGGGTTCTCTTACTTGTCGTCGATCCCGTGAGCCTTGTCCTTGGACAGAGGGACAGTGAAGTTGTTCGAGTTGGCGCCGTCCATCATGCAGTAGGGCTGCTCCCATGGCACCCCGTTCATCTTGGCATTCTCCGCAGCCGTCTTTAGTTTTGCGATTGCCTTCCGGTCGTTGCTCACGTCCTGTCGACACGAAGACGGAGGCACAGATTAGCTGGTCCGTGTTCAAGGGTAGGCGCAACAATAATTTCAGCAGCACCGTACGGTGTGCCCACTGCTGGAACCTCTATGTGGGGAGGTGCGGTAGTGAGGATTCGGGGTGTCTAATATATACTGTACGTCCCCGGGTTTGTGCTGAGGCGTCTGTTCAAAAAACATGTTGGGTTGTGATGTCGTCGTATGACGCAGTAAACCACGCAAATAGCGAGTACATAAATACGCACCTCCATGTGGTCCTCGTACTCCTTTCTCTTCAGGTTTTTCTCCGCCTCGTCCTGGATGCCTCTGGAGCCGGACTGCGTTCCGAAGATCGCCGACTTGAGGAGCGTGCAGATCTTGCAAAGCATGAAGTCTCCGCTTGGTTTCACCTTGAGATGGGGGAACTCTTCGGCCCATATCTTCTTGAAGTACTGACGCGTGCAGAGGGCTGCGTCCAGTCCCACTAGCTCCCCGTGGAGCTCCTTCCGTGTTTGGCTCTCGTACTCGTCAAACAACTCCTGCGAAGATGACAATAGTCGAAAAGAGAGGCGGGCATGGATGGTGGATGGAGTGGTTTCCAACCAGTAATTTTGATTGCGGCTGCCAGTAGCAGGTATTTACTTACTACTCCTCCCTCTGTTGTTAGTTGTTGTGGCAATGGCGACTCGTCGATAGGTAGTGGTAGAAGAGTACAGCAGTCGGCTTGTATCATAACCAAATAGAAAAAGGCTAGCCGTTGGATAGATCGGTCAGCGCTAACTGGTCGAAAATGATATCGGTATAATTTTATTGGGATACTGCGGATCGATCCTGTACCTGCGCGATGCTCCACACACCCACCACCACCACCATGGAACAAGTCGGAAGTAAGCACGAACGAACGTCCACTACATATACAAAGACTACACTACTTCACGTCCATTTTCTATCCTTCCACAAACTGAGGAGGGTAACGTTCCCTGCCGTCACTCCCCAAATACATACATACGCGCAGTACATGCATACATACATTTGAAGTGCGTACTACACATGCATACATTTTTGTTCTTTGAGGTAGAGATACTTGTCGTCGGAATTCGGCATGTGCTGCGCGAACGTGTCCTGGTAGTGCTGAAGGAAGCCGATGGCCCTGTCCCTCTTGGGGGAATCTCTGGTCTTTTCCACGGGACATCTATAGACACATCAACACAAAATAATGAACGATAAGGGAGTGACAGCATGCACGAACGGGAAAGACGTCGTCAGCCAAGAGACAAAAGGACAAGTACAAGTAAGTGTACAGTATGTAAGTATTAAAAGACAGCTATCTACTACTTACTGCTGCTGCTGCTGCTGCTGCTGCTGCTGCTGCTGCTGCTGGATGCTGCAATCTCTACAAATACTGCGTAGTGTATGTAGTACAACAGTATGACAGCAGCATACCTGTCAGTACTGTATGTAGTACTTGTTGACGTAAGTAGTATCTTTTACTAGACGAGGCCCACCACGCTAGCCCACAAATAAGCACACAAAAACACACACAAAAACACAAGCGCGGTCGATGCTAATAATGAAAACACACACACGAACACACACGACACACACACACACCTTGTCGCTGATCTAGACGCCGGAGCCTTTTCCGTCCCTTTGCATGAACATATGAGGCTGTCGGAAACCCTGAAGAACTCCCTGAAGGCTCGATTGCACACAGGGGTGCCCGCCGCGATCATGCTTCCCTGACTTAGCTTCGCGAGGGGGACGTGCTCCGTGACGAACCGCTTGCGGTCTTCCTCTCGCGTGAACCCTTTGAAAATGGCCTGCTTGCTCCCGTGCCAAGAAATCCCCGTTGTGGCGAAAGCTGTTGTTGTTGTTGTTGCTGCTGCTGTTGTTGCTGTTGCTGGCGCCGCCCTCGTCATCATCCCTCCCCCCCCCGCCCTTGGCGAACAGCTCGATGCAATTCAACCTGCAGCACCGCAGCTGCTGCTGCTGCTGCTGCTGTTGTTCGTTGCTTTTTGCCTTAATGCGCTCCCAACACTCCTGCGCGGATTGTGGTTCCTCCCACTTTCGCTTGGAACGCTGCTGTTTCTGTGGAGCCCCGGGGGTGTCTCCCGAGTCATCCTGTCTCCTGAAAAGGGGAGTCGTCTGTGCCCTCTTCTGGCGCCTCTCTTCCTCCTCGCGCTCCCGGCGCGCTTTGTCCGCTGGGGCATCTGCTTCCCCGAAGAGCCATGCCGCAGAATCCGCCACGGGCATGGCTTCGTTGGACGATTACGTGTGCCCTCGGTTCCTCGGTAAGTTGCTGTGGCGTGGTGTGTGTTCGTGTGTTGGTTTCTCGAAGTAGAGCTCCCTGTATCGTACCTCTTGCGACTCGACCCGGAAAGAGAGAGCGGTCGAGCAGTCGACAATCGATGTGTCATCAGAAAGCGGTCGTCTTGATTACAGCGCTCAGCGCTGCGCTTTGTAATCAAATTGACCAGTGAGAGAGGCCGGAGGATTATTTTAATCCTTTTGGAGCCCAGAGAAGTCATTTCGATTACTTCGGAATCAAAAGTGGTCTGAACAGACACGAAAACGTTTCCGCTCAGACCGAAAGAAAAAACGCCCATTCTACAACCGATATGATTCGTTTGGAATCGAATCGAAGCGGAAAATCGTCGAAAAGAAGAATATAATCCCAGCGGCCCAAATTTTGGTCGCTACGATTCCGAGGGTCATCGCTGCGCTCCTGAATCGAAGACACCCCATTTCTCGGCCTGTGAGATTAGGGAGTCCAGAGGAGAGGTAGGGCAACACCACTCCTTCTGTGCCCGATAATCAAGTGGAGCACCTCAAATGCGTACGTAGCATTAGACCCGAAGGAGGCCCGCTGATTCCCGTGGCCGCGTGGCGTGCCGACACCCATCAACCAAACGATCGTACGTCCCCCTCTGGCCTACGTTTGTTGTCACCTTCCTCCTCTCTGTCCCTGCCACGTGGGTTCAAGGCTACTCCGACCGACATTATCATGGCCAACAGGCAGCGAGGACGAGGCCGTCGTGCTGTTGGTGGCGGTGGTGGTGCTTCGACTTCTTCTGCGGGTGACCACAGTGATGATCCGACAAGCGCAACAAACATCGGCGAGGTCTTGGCTTCGCACTGCGTGAAGGAGTGGGACGTGCCACTGAAGAACATCACGTTGGCGGAGAACAGCAGGCAAACCAGCCCGACCGCGGTGCAGGAAGTCGTCGAGAGCATCCAATCTCATGGATGGGTGGATAGCTTTCCGCGAGTGATGTTCTCGGATCTGACAGAAGGGCAAGAGATGACCGTCGAGCTCGCGGCTACGCTACATGCCGTTGTTATCGATGGAAATCATCGCTTGGCTGCCTGCAAGGAGGTGTACGGAGAAGATCGGCTCATAAGGTGCACGTGCTACCGGTTCATCGCGGATAGCTTCGCCAGGCAAATCGCGTCTGACGGTGAGATGGAAGAGTGTACTCTCCACGTTGGATGAAGCAAACACGGTCTTCTTGGGAAGATGTCTGTATTCTACACTCACTCTTATGAGCACTCCTGCTCTCAAACACATCTTTCGCCTCTCACGCTTCTCCATAGGAATTGGGTCGGAATATTGTACTTTGGAGGGTATGGTGTGTGTGTAGCAGTCGAGGTGTCAGACGATAATGTTACAACGGTAGTAGCAGCAGCAGCAGCAGCAACGAAGAGATGAGCACGTCGCTGCTCGCGCGCCTCTTCACGTGCGGAATTCACCGAATTTACTATCTGTACCACGAAAAACACAGCAACGCTGCAAGAAGAAGACTAGCATACGATGTATTGTACCCTTTTGACATACTTCAATGAATAACACCATCGTTGGTGTACTGCGGTACAGTAGGTCCTGGCACAACGACACGGTAGTGACGGTAGTGACTCCTCAACAACGCACCCACACCATTCCCATGGATCGGTGATTCGTATCCTGGGCCACTGCTGCCGCTGCTGTACACCCCAGTGTGCAACGTCACGACGGCCACCTTCCGAGCGCGGACGATCTACGACCAGCTCTATTTCTACAATAGGATGATGACGTCGCTGATGGCCCAGGAGAGCGAATCATCATCAGCTCGCCGGCGGTCTTCTAATAGTCGTTCGAAATCGTCTGTCACCGCGGCTAAGCTAGCGGCATGCTGGAAGGGGGTGAGTGCGACTGACACATTATTTTGGTGATGATACTCTCCGTATTTCTGGTGGGTGTTTTTGCCTGTAGCCTGACGTCGGCGACAGGCCATGTTTCTGTACAAACACCACGTTTTTCGTATTATAACATTGTTTTCTGTGCTTTTTGCTGCAATATTCAGGCTGGTAGCCAGGCACCGGCAGCCAACACCCTTCGCCAGTGGATTTCTATCGTCAACGACACGGGCCAGGAAGCACTGGTGGCGCTTCGTGCCCTGACGGATCAACGCGTTCCAGGTTACCAAAGCATCACCAAGGCCTTCCTGGCCGACCCTCGCGTGCGGGAGTTGAAAGAAGAGCAGCCGCAAACCCAGGCCCTCCTTGTCGACATTTACGCGAGGTACCCAATATGGGAGGCAACAAGTAAGACCAGCCCGGTGTGATGCAAGTGTGATATATTATCAGGCTTCGTTCGTGGTTGACATCCTCTGCAACTGCTGTATTGCTGTCGGTACGGTAGTGTTGGTTTTGTCAAAGGTACTAGGCTACCATGTAGATCAGTGCCAGAACGCACACAAACATACTCCTTCGATTAGAACCCCACCGTGTGGTTTGGGTACTTGTGCAGGATACCGAAGACGTCCAAGAAAGGAGAGCGAGAGGGGTTGGACGAGATAGGCTGGGCGTTGGCTCGGGCGAAGATGACGGCGTCTTGGGTCGAGGGTATTGAGCACGTAGTGCCCAGGGACCAATGGTCAGACAAGCTGAAGGGGTGAGTGCAGCAACGAGGTAGATTGGGGCCTGGCACTCGGCAGCTTTGTTCTTTCGGTGGTTGTCCGTGATTGGTAGGGGCAACAGCGACATAAAGAAGACGACGAACGTTCACTTACCTCGACCGCATTCGATATCTTCCCGGGGTTCCCATGCCCACACCAACAGTACCGTCCGCGACTTCGCGTTCGTGAAGACCGGCCACTACGCTAACTACGTCAAGCCACACCAACTTGAGAGGGAGGCGGAGGTACGCGAGCTCCGCGAGTCGCTTCCTCCGCACGTCAAGGACCTCGACGAAGATGTAGTGCTGGCCATTCGCTCGAAGCTACATCCCAGCATCAGGAAGGTGAATGCAGTACAATGTAGGGCGTTTGCGTTTGCTTTGTTTGCCTAAGCTTGCTTGCAGCATGTTTCTTTGTGGTTCGAGTGCTGTACAGGTTATGGTGGATGGGAGCAGCCAGCCCAGCAGTAGTTATTATGTGTTTATCTTGCTGTTTTCATTCCCCCCTGCCTGTTGTTGCCACGGGTTTCCCTAGCACATCTGCAATCACTCGGACAGGGGCGAGCGAGGAGGGACGGTCGCGTTTCTCCGCGCCAACTATTACAGGCGGGACGTAGTGGCGGGTGGAAGGCCAAAGTTTTGTTGCTTTCTGTTGGTTCGTCGTATGGCAGGTCATGCGCGAAGACCTCAACTTTCGCCCGATGCTCGTCGAGCACGAGGGACTGTACGAAAGCGCTTTGAACAAGGTCAGAAGCTTGAAGCTGCAAGTCACTCAGCCAGTGCAACCACGTCCACGACAACCCGTCGGCAACAACAACAGCGAGGGTCTTGGCTGCACCGTCTGCAAAGCACCAACCTCTTCGAGGTGAGGACCAGGGAGGTAGAGGATGAACGATCACGCCTGTTCAGTACACGCCTATATATGTGGCCTGTCCGCTCGCGTGGCCGACCGCCGCAATCTCACCGCTAGCTTACGCCGTTGGCATCCCATGGCCGGTGTGACCCTTCATGTCGACTTTAACACCGGTTCGTGTCCATCTTACCATTCATTGAATATTTTCGCGCGGCGTCCATGTATCACGCCATGTACAAAGTAGGTGTTCTTGTACAACACGCCAGTGTTTGAATATCGCCGCCCTGTTCACGCTTGTTGTCCCTCGTCCCCATTCCTCTTGGCTCCCCTCGCCTAAGCTATTCGTGTTCCGTCTGCAAGATCCACCACACTGGTGGTTGCGCGAACACCGACTTTTCGGAGGACGACGAAACCTCGAAAGTCAGAGACTGCAAGGACTGCCACCTCAGCAAGCAGCCACAG